CATTACCTGTTTCCACCTCTCACGACGAGGACGTAGGGTTGGACTTTGAGAGGTAAACCTCTTCTACTGTCGGTAATTTAGTCCCGGCCACCAGAGATTTAGTTTCAGCGTTACGTTGTAATATTCGTTGGTGCGTTCCTTCATTGGAAGCTTCCAGCTGCAATTTTATAACAGGGTGATGCTGCAATGCTAACCCTCTTGGTAGACAAGACTAAGACTTGCTGATTTTAGCATGTATAGAAATTTAAGACCACCCTGGACAATGCCAGCACCCCCAGGGCGAAATAAAGTAAGCGACGCTTTCTAAACAAGCTTACGACATGGATGGTTCGCGAGCCCATGAGTCTTACACGCCCCATTTCCCACGGCGCTGTAAACAGTATATTTTTGTTTCCCTGATGAGCATGTTGTGAACTATCAAGCTGCGCTTTAATGATAGCTTTGAACAAAATTGAACCAAAGATCTAGAGCAGCTTAAGTTTTTCACAAGCGAGTGATAATCTTTTCAATCTTCAGTTTTATGTCCGTTTGTGGACCTTGTGGTTTAAGGTAATTCTGTAATTTGCACTTGTGTGGATTTAATAAATCAATGCATCGGCTATACGCTTAATCGTAATACTTCCGATCAAATTAATCAACTTCTGACTGCATTAGCCAAAACAAAGTCCAAAGAAAGGTTAGCAGACAAACTAAGCAAGTCCACCAAAGAATGTTAGAAAAGGCTGTCACGATTAAACTTAAATAGACTAAATAACTTCAAAATTCGAATTCATGCATTACATTCCTTCTTAACTTAACTGACTAACTAAATGAGTAACTATAATTATAAACTAACTAGATACCTCATAAAAATATAATGCTTAACTTAGGAAACATTCCCTGACATGTAACCACGTTGACAAGGCAGACAAATGCCTTAGCATCGTCAACCACGACACAGCTGGTATACCAAATTTATCAGTCACACCGAGAACTCATAATTCCACTGTAGAAGGAGGTCAATCTTTGGACGTTGACTCAGATTAGCCTAATCCGGTTACATGGGCTGATAGATAACAGAAATTGAATTAGGGGATTCCCCTTCTTTCAAGTGCAGTTCTATTTTTGTTTTCAAGACTTCGAGAATATTAGGGGTTGCGTAAATTATCATCAAGCGTAGGTTATCAACAAACAAAAACTGCTGGTATTTCGAACGGAAAAACAACTAAAAAAGAAAAATCATATCTAGACAAGATGGAAAAACTAGTCCGAGACACCCAACAGAAGGAAGGAAAGAGCTAACCAGAAAGGTTTTGCAGCTTAATTATTCATGGCCAGATTGAATTTAAATCTTAAATTTTTATAGTTTCGAAGAGCTTATGAGCGTGTTATTTCGCCCTGTTTCGCGCTAATTCTGTTTTCGAAGTCCCACGTCTCTAGACTATTTTTCGGAAATCTTTTCATTTTTGCGCTAGTTATCTTTAAGCATCGGAGATTTGTTTGGTTGCCTGGTGAACTCAGCGGTTACTATCATGACAGTTAGAAAAGCCTTTTAAACTATTGTACTGATCTTTGTGCCATGGTAAGTGAAGAATAAATGGTAAAATGATTTTTGAAATTTTCGTTTAAACTCTGAAATTCCTTTTTTTCCTATTATTGTGTTACCCTTTATCTGGCAAACAGCTTGTACGAAACATCTTGAGAATCTTTGCATACGTTGCAGTTATCATATATAATACTTCTTAGTTGGTCTTTGTACATTGACCGTAAGGCAGGTTTCGGAATCTGCTTCCCAGAGTGAAAGTCACATGTAAACGATGGACTGATCCAACTCAGGAACTTCGATATTGACGAGGTCCCAGTAGCAAGACCGAATTTAAATAAGGGATGTAATCAGTAGCCTTAAGAATTTGAACTCATGAAATTAGATACTGATGATGTCTTTGAGTAGATTTTATACTTTGGGTAAGCTTATTTACTTTGATCTAACATCGCAATTTCCACTTTTCCAGAGTCATATGATTTGATACGGTGGTATGAAAACTTGAATTAAAAGCTGAGTTTTCCGCTGGTATCTTAAAACAAGACTCCAGTCATAAAATATGAAAAAGAATACCTACATCTGGCTAATAGGGAGAGCGAGTTTCTCCGAAATGTAAATCAATGAGGCTGAATCTCTAAATTATCACGACCGGCGGACAACCGTACACAGCACAGCCTAAAAAGGTTATGTTTATATTATTCCGGTAACAAGATTGAAGAGGCCCCTATAACTTTTATGTTCCTAGCAGGAGTGTCCAATTGTGATTCTATTGTTCTTTTTGTTTACATGATTTGATACGGTGGTATGAAAACTTGAATTAAAAGCTGAGTTTCCGCCGGTATCTTAAAACAAGTTGGCAGATACCATAAGCCCTTACCAGACCCCAGTCATAACATATGAAAAAGAATAC